CTAAGGACATACGGCAAGTGCTTCCACCAGGGTGTCAGCCTAGCAGGCCCACCTGGAAACCCGCGTGGAACAGTAGTGGCCTTTCAGCCCAGACGCCTGCCTCGCGCTACGGAACCGTGTGGAGGCACGGAGACTTCTGGGGCAGCCCTGAGCTAGTGGCCTAACCTACCTGGAAAATCCTAGCCCAAGAAGCAGTGTGAGTGAGCCTTTTGGGTGGATCCAAGGCCCTTCACCAAGCTCTCACTTCCTGACTTCACCGTTGGGTCTGTTGTACTAGGAAATAATAACACCTCCCGTTTATTGAGGGTTTACTCTGTACCAGGCATTGTGACTGATGTAATTTAGTTCTCACTGCATCCCTGCGGCGTGGATATTCTCGTTATCTGCATTTTGCAGTGGAGAAATTGAGTCTGAGAGGTTAAGGAACCTGCCCAAAGTCACACAAGCCAGTAGGTGGCAGAACCAGAATTCAGATCACAGGCCGGCCGGCCTGCCTGCCTGCCTGACTCCACAGCCAGCACTGCGGTGCCACTTCCCGTGCATGGGACACGGCGGGGTTAAGGCCGTGGGTTAACAGGGCCTCCATTTATGGAGAGCATTCATTTTTCTCTGGTGAATTATAGAAAACGCTTTTTACACTGAAGTGAGCAGATACTCAGATACTCCCTGGGATGAAAGTTAACATTTGCACCAATGATTGAGATGACACACAAATTTCACGCTTCAAGCCAATGCTTTAGGCTCAGCCCATGGAATTCTGGAGTGACCTTTTCTGAGTCATTACCAGGGTGATGTTGGTGAAGGAAGCTCCACTCCAGGACCAGCTCCTGTGTAGAGCCTTCCTGGAGGCTAACAAGGATGACCTCTCTCCATTTGCCATCCACTAGACTGTCTGGGAAGTTCATCCAGTTCCTCTGGGCTCAGATTTCCAAGTTCCCAAAAGGGAACCTAACCTTCAGGAGTTGGGAATGAAAAATTGGAATTTGGGGGAATTCCTGAAAGCATGTTGTTCTGTATTTTTCTTTTTTTTTTGGAGACAGAGTTTTGCTCTTGTCACTCAGGCTGGAGTGCAGTGGTGTGATCTCAGCTCACTGCAACCTCCACCTCCCGGGTCCAAGTGATTCTTTTGCCTCAGCCTCCCTAGTAACTGGGATTACGGGCATGTGCCACCAACCATACCCGGCTAATTTTTTGTATTTTTAGTACAGAGAGGGTTTCATCATGTTGGCCAGGCTGGTCTCAAACTCCTGACCTTAGGTGACCCACCCACCTCAGCCTCCCAAAGTGCAGGGATTACTGGCGTGAGCCTCCGTGCCCGGCCACTTTCTGTATTTTTTAATAAATAAGAAATACACATTTAGTTGTAGTTACAAAGAACTGTAGGCCATAGCAAATATTCAATAACTGAAAAATGCCAATGAACATTATTGGGTAGTGTTTAAGTAACAAGATGTTCAAATATTTGACAAGATTAACAACACTACACAGAATCACGAGTTGAAATTGCCAGTTTAGGCTGAGTATGGTGGCACGTGCCTGTAATTACAGCACTTTGGGAAGCCAGAGCAGGAAGGTCTCTTGAGTCCTGAGTTTGAGGCTATAGTGAGCTGTGATTGCACCACTGCACTCCAGCCTGGGCAACAGAGCAAGACCCTGTCTCTTAAAAAAAGAGAGAGGGAGAGAAATTGCCAATTTAAGGACTTATTTGTTTCCAAAACTTGTTATTTATTAGAACATCATTTGTGGCCGGGCGCGGTGGCTCAAGCCTGTAATCCCAGCACTTTGGGCGGCCGAGATGGGCGGATCACGAGGTCAGGAGATCGAGACCATGCTGGCTAACACGGTGAAACCCCGTCTCTACTAAAAAATAGAAAAAATTAGCC